CTCCAGGCTCAGAACGCCCAGTTCCAAGAGCTGATCCTGAATTTGACCCAGGGGCAACAAGATCTGAAGGCTCTGCTCCTGAAGAAGGAGAAGAAGAAGAAGAGGACTGTTTTGTTCAGCCCTAGACGCAGATCTGGGAATGCACCGCAGACTGAAACTGAGAGGACTACCCCATCTGTGAGGGAAAACAGTCACCATGAGAGAGAGGTGCCTAGTCCAGTGGTCTCCGACAACGAGACAGATTTCGACGACGAACAGTACCCTCCGGCTGAGGATAAGTACAAACAGTTGGAAGACCGGTTAAGTGCTATAGAGATACAAAAGGTGCCTGGTCTGGACTTCGAGGATCTAGGTCTGTCTTCTGGAGTGGTGATCCCGCACAAATTCAAGGTACCTGCCTTTGCTAAATACGACGGGGCATCCTGTCCTAAGTTGCATCTCAGGGCTTATGCAAGGAGGATCCAGCCCTATACAGCTGACAAAAACTTATGGATCCATTTCTTCCAAGAGAGTCTTTCAGGGACTCAGCTCGAGTGGTTCTATCAACTGAATGGAGCCAACATCCGTACCTGGGAAGACTTAGCCACTGCATTTTACAAACACTACCAGTATAATGCCGACCTCGCTCCCACGCGTACTCAGCTTCAGGGGATGTCTATGGGTACAGGCGAAGGCTTCAAAGAGTATGCTCAAAAATGGAGGGACCTTGCTGGAAGGGTACAACCACCTCTGATGGACCGCGAGCTCGTCGACATGTTCTTGGGGACCCTGTCTGGCCCATTCTTCAACCACCTAATTGGGAATTCTGCTGCTGGGTTTACAGATCTTGTCTTGACTGGGGAGAGAATCGAAGCTGGTATCAAGTCGGGGAAGATTCAAGAAGCCGCATCTGCTGATGCTCAGAAAAAGCCCCACAGTGGGAAGAAAGAATCCAATGCTATACATGTGAAAAAGGGTCGTCATAATGTAGGGGCAATCCAGATTTCCGATCCCACGCCCGTTCAACCAAGAAAGAGCAATAGGCGTAGGATAAAGCATCAAGATAGGAAGTATACTGACATCAACATGTCTTTGTCTCAGGCATTACAGCAATTGCTGAGGGCGAAAATGATCACACTTAAGGATCCTCCTCAAAATCCTGACACTTCCTCTCCCAAGTACAACCCGGGTGTGAGATGTGCCTACCATTCTGACAGTCCTGGACATGACACCGACGACTGTTGGACCTTGAAGAACAAGATCCAGGATTTTATTGACGCCAAGGAGGTCGAGTTTGAACACTGATCCTACACCAAATCGTCGAGAATGTCTTTTGTTCATTCAAATGTTCAAGTTGTATTGTTCTTTGATTGTTCAAACATTTATTCATGTTAAACATTGTTATCACATTAATGCATCGCTTATGTCTATTTTGAATCAATATATTCGCATTTACTATATGCAAATTGTTTCATATTTTTCTGATGATCAACTCTTGGTTAATAATTCTAAGCCTCTTGAGGGAGGATGACGAAAACGATACCATGATCTACAGTATGCTTTTGAACAGACCCCGCTGATGAGGTACAGGCATTGTTTCAATCCCTAAACACTGGAGTTATAAGGATGATAATCCCTCGTCAACCCCGCTGAGCCAAAGAAGTAGGAGTTTTTCGAAATTGAAAACCCTTTATCATAACCTGGGGCAGGGTAGTTCTCTCAGTTGATCCAAGTGCATGACGAATAGCACCGAAGAGATCTTTACAAAACGAACAAAGACAGTGATGGTTCAGAACAATCAAAAGGACAGGCAGTCATCATCAAAATTCATAAACGAAAAAGCCCAAAAAGTCTAAACCTACAAAGGGGACTTATGAAACTGGGGCATCCCGCTGACTGTAATTCCAAAAAGGAAACAGTTCAGGCAAAAAAAGAAAGGGATAACAAAAAAGAAGAGGTCCTATAAACCCTCAGCAAAAAAAGATGACTGCCCATTCAAAATAAATCATCAATATCGGAACCATCACCGGAAAATCAGAGCAAAGACTCAATCAAGGTCTAACGTATGATCAACTAAGTTTAGGTTTGGAGAACATCACGAAGAGCGGGTGGGTACAAATAATTTGAGCCTTTACCCTTTGTTTCTTAAACCGTGAACCAGGCCACGTTATAACCCTCAAAAGTCCTAGCTGAAACACGGGTTAGTTCAAAAGCATACTGTTACGAAAGGTATCCTGACTCCTGAAGGCCTACGGTAAATACGGAGTTGACATCACGTTTTACAAACATTCATTTGTTTTATGAAAAAGAATGCATTTTCAAAATCTTCAAGACAGACATAAGCTTTGCATTTTTAATATAACATTGTTTGCATATGACTTTGTTGTACCCCAAATTTTGACCTAAGATACCGTCTTCCATCTGCATCATTCGCATTGCAAGAGTTTTGACCTATTTTATCAAATTTTCAAAGCAGTTTAAAAATTCATAACTTTTTCGAGTCGGGAGCTGTTTATTTGTTGAACGCTAAATTTATTAACTGATCAAGATTTAAATGACGTTTATTAATTATTTATTATCTTAAATTTAAATAATTGGAATCTATTTTTCAATTGTTATATAATTTAAAGACTTATGAATAATGAAATAAGCATTTGAGAATGAGTTTATTAATTGGTCAACAATGATTATTTAATTCTTTATCATTTTAGATTAAATAATTAAAATTCTATTTTTAATTATTATAATTTGGAATTTTACGAATAATGAATTAAATAGTTGAATTTGTTGATTAGTCAATGATGTTTATTTATTTGTTTGTCATTCTGAATTTAAATGATTGGATTTGATTTTCAATCATTATATGATTTAAGGAATTATAAACAATAAATAAATAATTGGAAAGAAAAGGAATTAATTGAGAAATAATAAAATTTTTATTCACTTTATTCTATTTATTACAATTGTTGTTTAAATACTATTGTACAAAGTATTTATAATAACCATTACATAAATGCTTAAAGTAAAATAAAACTATTTTCCTAAATTCTAATTCTAATCTTCTATCCAATACTTTTTGTCTGCTCATTTAAATTTTACCTGCAAAAAAAAAACGATTAAAAGAAAGAAATTAGAATTCGGATAAATAATTAAAATGCAGAAAATAAATTCAATGTTCATCATTAAAAGCAATGGCCGGAATCAGTTACTCTTTTTTGCAAATCACGGGATTTCTCCCGGTTCACAAAAAAGAGAGGAATTTTTAAATGAATGCACAATTAAAAAATAGCACATTTCAAAATCAATTGCATTTTTATCAAAAAAAACCCACTGCATATTTCAAATATGCATAAACTCATTTTTGGTCAAAGCTGCATAAAACATATGAAACAGCATATGCAAGTTCATAACATAAGCCAACGTTAACCTGCACCACATAGGAGATAACATAGGCTAATGCAAGACAAAAGAAAATGCCATTCCAACAATATGCAATTTCAAACATGTGAAATTTTAAAACAATGTATGCAAGCAACCTATATTTCCTTTTTCATCATATTCCAGCCTATTACTTTTTCAGACAGCAGTACAAAATATCATTTTCATATATCAGTTCTGTACTTGAGGTAGAGAGAAGAAGAGGTTTAGTTTTTGCAGGTTTTGATTTAAGCATGAATTGGGAATAAAGTCAAACATATGAAGCAGCATATATGCAGGACATCAGGAAAATATATTAAATATATTCAGACCTGAGCCATGAGCAAAAAACCAACGGTCATATGAGAAGGGAACTCCTTCAAAAAGGATAAGTCTGAGCCTGCATAAAGATATACAAGACTACCAAGAGAGAAAACCTTAGCATATTTCAACATAACCTGCTACTGCTATCATCAAAAACCTTAGCATACTGCTATCATAACCAGCATACTACACCAAACCATCTCTTAGCATATTTTAACATAACCTGCTACTGCTATCATCAAAAACCTTAGCATACTGCTATCATAACCAGCATACTACACCAAACCATCTCTAAGCATTTGCAAAAACCTGCATACTGCTATCATAAACAGAACCTACAACCATATCATTGCAAAACCATTCCCAAACAGAATCACTACAAAACTATAAAAAAAAACATGGCAAAAACCATTCAAACCATTTCCAAATATAACCTGCATACTGCTGAACCTGTTATCTGCTAAGCAATAGACTAGAAACCAAGTGATATCCACAAAACCACAAGATTGTGCAACACCAGAAATTTTCAAAAAAAAGAACACGACCTTGACGTCAACATAACGAAGTTGCAGCTGGACAATAAGAAAGCCTACTGTTTTCAGAAGGAACATACCTGGTTTGTAGTTTCTTTTCATGTCAGTTAAAATATACCATTTATCTCTATTTATCATTGTTTTGCATTCGGTAAATATAATCCCTAAAAAAAAAATCAATTAGTAGCCATGTTAATAGTAACCATGGAATGTCCAGAGTAGGAATTAAAGTGAAAACAAAAATTGAAAACGTTTACCTCTTCATTCTTAACCTGCTACCATCGCAAGCCCTTCCATATGTCCGCTCTACGACATCCCCTCCTTTTACTTCCAACCACGGCAACATATCGAATCCTTATTCTAACACCAACACAATCATAAACACACTGTTAATTTTAAAGTCAACTTGAGAATGATAAACAAATTCACAAATCCGCTTTTTTCTCTTTAATCAATTTCTCGTTAATTCAATCAAAATGGCTCACTCAAAGATAAAGCAAGAACCTACTGAAACAAAAGGAAAGAGGAAAAAGCATCAGAAAGAGAGAACAGCCGTTGACGATGATGTTGTAGAAGACTTGGTACTTAATTCCGTTGAAGAAGATTTTCCTTCAAGCGACATCCCTCCTGCTGGGAAAAATGCGAATGCAGATAATCATTTATCTCCAAAACAAAACCGCAAGTCAAAGCACAAAACAACGTTTGAGAAGGAAACACAGCAGCTTCTGCATCTTCCACCATTTCAGAATGGTCAAGGGTAGACAGGGAGAACGCATTAGGCTTTATGTCAGGGGTACAGTTCTATAGATACAAAAGGTCAAAGTCAAATCAATACCCAAACACCTCTCTTGTTCAGATCGAGGGAGTAAACACAAAGGAAGAGGTTGCATGGTATGCTGGGAAACGGTTGGCATACATTTACAAGGCCAAGGTTAAAAGGGATGGTAGCCACTATAGGTGTATCTGGGGAAAGGTTACTAGACCTTATGGTAACAGTGGGATAGTCCGTGCAAAGTTCACTTCAATTTGCCACCAAAATCAATGGGAGCTAGGGTTAGAGTATTCATGTATCCAAGCAATATATAAGATTGCCTTTACATATAACTAGAAGGTGATGCAGAGAAACAAAGAGAAGTGGAAGAATTTGCCTTACCTGTCGGAAGCAAGCTTTGGTAGATCTTGATTTTGGTGATGCAGCGAAATCCAAAACTAATTCATAATTTGTTATTCTCTGCACCGATTCTTCTTTCTCTCTTCTGCGTTTTCTCCTCTCGCGTTCTGGGTTTGATTTGTGGCGTTTTTGAGGTGAGGATGTTGTTTGCGTTGGATGAAACGGAATGTTGAAGCAGAGATGGTTTACAGTAGAGTTTTTGTGATGATTCGGCGTTGATGATTGAAGGAAGATGATGGTTGGGGTTTCACCAGCGGCGGCCATGGCACCGGCGTTCCTAGGTTTTCTTCGCTACAGCTTTGTTTTTCTCTTCCTGGGTCTGGATCTTTCCACGACCCGCTCCATTTCCCTTAACCATGCTCAATTTCCTCTTTAACTAAAGCCCTTTTCTAATTGCTACTCCCACCCCTTTTTCTTTATAGACTCTTTAGTTAATTCTATTCATTTCTTAACTTATTTAATTTAGATTAACTAGTTTTTAGGAATACACATATGGTTTTAAATAGACAATTTTAATATTTTATCCAAATCTCATTTAATCTAAGTTTAGGTTTATTTAATAACTTTAGTTTTCCTTATTCTAATTAGATATTTGACTTGTAAGTTTTACTTAATTTGAAAAATATTTAATATCTTTAAAAAACATGTGAAAGTAAAAATGAGAAAACTAAAAGACATGTTTTTTTTTTCTTTAATTTACTCCCCTCATTTTGATTAAATACCAATATAAAAAAGACATAAAAAATAGAAACATATAAAACCTAAAAAATATTTCTATTCATTCTCGTTACCTTTTATCTATGTTAAAATGCGTAACCAATTAAAAACATTTTTCTCTTCATATATTAAACAAAAAATCATATAAAAAATGCATGTTCACATTTAATTGTTGTGTATCATTTTCTGTCAATTATTTCATTGTACTTGATTATTCGGTTTGCGTTAATCCAAAGGGAATTGTCTAATTTTTGTTGACTTCATGTCCTCAAAAATGATCGAGCGAATACTCTCCTTCCTTAAAAACTTAGGTTAATTTTCCTCAAACATTCACATTACTTCAAAATTTCAACCTTTTCAAGACTTATACCTTTTAAGCCAAAACTTCGACATTAGGTCGTCGTATTTTCAAAAACCCGTCCGTATCCCTTTTTCGGCCAAAACGATTTATTTTCAATCAAGCGATCAATTTTAAATAAAACAGATATTTCAAAAGGTTCCTATAGAGTACTATAGATGCATTGGGTGCTAATACCTTCCCATTGTATAACCAACCCTCGAACCATAAGATCTCTTTTCGAAAAAACGCTTTGTATTTGTATTTTTATTTACATTGCATATTTAGGGTTTATTTCGCTCTTTTCCCTTTTCCTTTGGAAACAATAAAGCGCGGTGGCGACTCTTGCTTTTTGCGAGACGAATTAATCAATAATTCGATCTCCGATTTACCCCGCTACATTTTTATCGCTACATAATTGGCGACTCTGCTGGGGATAGGTTGACCTCTTGCTGGTCCATCCCTAAGTGGGTTAAGCCTAATTTGTTTTATCTGTTTTATTGTTATTTGATTTGCTTGATTATATGTTTAAATTGGGGTGTTTGGGTTTTTTGAAGGACGAATCCTACACCCGGATTAAGTAACACTTAAGGAATAGGACGGGCGGTATAGTCATGTTAACTTTGAGGGAGTAATCCCGAAGAAGGAGGCATGAGATCCCCCACTCAATGGAAGGCCCTCTTGAACTTAATATCTGTTTACCGAGTAATCGGGAAGACATTATTATTTTCGACCTAGGAGCCCGAGAAGTTGAGGACCGTAGAACCCTAACCCATCTTGGCCTTTTTAGGTGTAGCGCGGAGACTATAACGGAGTAATTCGGAAGTAGTTGTTACGCGATGCTACGCTTGGACGAGTTTCTCTTGAGAATATTGCTAATTATTGAGTAATCAAGACGTTGGTAATATCCGAAGGAGGAATGTAGACTCTGGGAACTCTTAGAACCATGTCTTACAGGTGCGTTTGAACCGTTAGTACATACCTTTGGGTGGGCTTTACCCCCGACTCCATGCTGAAACGTTGAACCTTTGAATCCCATGTTTGCAAATTTATGTGTGACTGTTGCACTATCATTCATTCATACATTCATCGACATCTTTTGTAAAAAAACTCGTTTTTCAAGGAACTTTGGATTGATTTTTGCAAACGTCTTAGGGTATTATGGAATTTGGAAGAAGAAATACTCGAAGCTTTAGCTTCAAGGAGCCCGAAATTGAAGAACTGAAGAGTTTGATTCCGAAGATAGAGAGTCCGACAGATTTTCAGAAGAAATATGGGTCCATCGTACCGCTCATGAAGCGCAAGATGAAGAAAGGCATCCTCAACACTTTGGTTCAGTTCTATGATCCCCTGTACCGATGTTTCACCTTCCCGGATTATCAGTTGATGCCTACTTTAGAGGAGTACTCCTATATTCTTGGTTTGCCGATCGTCGACCGTGTTCCTTTTTCTGGGTTAGAAGAGGAGCCTAAGTCCCATGAGATAGCAACCATCACCCATCTGAAGAAGTCAGAGATAGAGGAGAATATGACTACGAAAGGAGGAATCCGGGGTTTGCCGGCACAGTTTCTGTTGAAGAAAGCTCGTTACTTTGCTGATACAAAGGATACCGTTGCCTTCGAGGACGTGTTTGCTCTACTCGCGTATGGTCTTTTCTTATTCCCTAACGTTGATAAATTTGTGGATGTCAACGCTATCAGAGTTTTCCTGATTGGAAATCCGGTCCCTACGCTGCTAGGGGACACGTATTACTCTATCCATCTTCGAAACTCTTATCAAGGAGGGATGATCATCTGTTGTGTGCCGTTGTTGTATCAGTGGTACGTCTCGCATTTACCTGGGTCCGATGCTTTCTGGGATCTTGAGAAGGAACCGCGGTGGGCGCCAAAGATTATGGCTCTCACTCATTTCGATATTGACTGGTACAATCGAGTTTACCATGACGTGGAGATCATCGACAGCTGTGGTGCTTTTCCCAACGTACCTCTTCTTGGTACGAGGGGGGGAATCAACTACAACCCTGTTCTAGCGCGTCGTCAGTTCGGGTACCCGATGAGAGATAAGCCGAACAGTATCCATGTGAGTGGTTTCTTTCTTCAGGAAGGACAAGATCATCAGGCTGCTAAGAGGGAGATTGAGGGAGCTTGGCGCCATATTCACAAGAAAGGGAGAGATATGCTGGGACATAGAGGTGCCGTCTCTTTGGAACCTTACCTGCAGTGGGTCCGTGCTAGGGCTCATGCTCTCAAGATGCCGTATAAACTTGAGAAACCTTTATTCCCTGCCATCGCACCATCATCAGTTGTTATCCTTATCGCAGATGTAGGAGAATATCAGGGGAACCTGGCTAGGATGAAATCCGAAAGGGATGCTTGGAAGGAAAAGTATCATATGTCCGAATACGAGAATCGAGTCCTGACTCGACAGCTGAAAGAAAAGAAGGAGTTGTTGCTTATTCAAGACGGCCGGTTCGTTGACCACGATGAGAAGCTTCGCCAGAAGGATGCCTTGTTGAAGAAATACGCGAGTGAAAGGAAGAGAAAAAGGGAATGTTCAGTAAACGTGGCTCTCGTTCCTAGTCCACAAGAGGAAATTGTCAATCGACTGATCGCGGAAAAGAAAGATATGGAAGACTTTTACGAAGAAAAGATCAAGAAGCTCCGGTTACAGCTGGTATTTGGTCCGTCATCTGAGGATTCCGAGTAAGCTTTAGCTTTAGTTTATTCTATTGATGTCATTTTGAAAAAACCATGTAAAAGGGCTTCATGTTCCGAAATTGTAATTTATCGTTTTATTAAGGGCTTCATGCTCCGAGTTGTAATTTATTGTTTTCTTAAGGGCTTCATGCTCCGAAGTTGTAATTTATTGTCTTATTTTGGGCTTCATGCTCCAAGTTGTAATTTACTGCTTTCGTGTTTCAAAAATGTAATTTATCACTTTATTATGGGTTTCACGTTGCAAGTTGTAATTTATTGCTCTCATTAGTGGATTTGTTATCTCAAAATTGTAATTTACTTTTCCAAATTGTAAGTTGTAATTTATCGCTTTCGGTTAACGGATTGAGTTTTTGTTGTTCTAAATTCCTTTATCATTGATGTATGCCAAGTTACTAAAGTTCCTTGAAAAACTTTCAAAATGAGTCATCATTTGTATTGCCATCATGCATCATTTCACATTCCACATCACATGTTTTCTAGAGTCTCATTTTTGTTCTTTTTCCACCGAAGGTTGTCAAGCTGTCTCACCGATACGACACTCGGGCCAATCGTCAAAAGAAAATGGAAGATTTGGAACAGGAAAATCACGAGCTTCGTGGGGAAGTTGCTACACTTCGTGCCGAGATGGAAAAGTTAACAGCGTTGGTGGAAAGTTTGGTGGCTGTTCAGAATCAGCCATCGACTACGGCTGCCGAGATTCAGACTTCAACTCCAGTGGTTTCCGAAAATGTTACAGTTCCTGCATCCACAACTCAAACCAACTCTCCGCTTCAATATCAGATGCCGAAAGGTTTTCCGTGGGGAATGCCTTACAACTTTGTGCCAGAGGGGTATCAGCCTACCGCCCAACCTATATTTCAGTCTGCATTGTCTCTTCCTCAACCAGAGACAACTGTCATGCCGCCAGTAATCCCATCTGTAACACCTTTTCCGCAACCAATTATGACGACCGTTGCTCCTGTGGTCCACTCAGTACCATACTTGAATGAACCAGTTTATCCTGCCGAGCCCGCTGAAAGTTTGGGTCTTTTTGACAGAATGGAGGAATTTCAGGATCAGTTCCAGGAAATGCAGAAGGAGCTTAGAGCATTGAAAGGGAAGGATTTGTTTGGGAAGAGTACGCACGATCTTTGTTTAGTTCCGA